GTTTAGGGTTTTGGATTTCGGGTTTAGGGTTTAGGGTTTAGGGTTTCGGGTTTAGCGTTTGGGGTTTAGGGTTGCGGCTCAGGGTTCCGGGCCTAATTGGGGGTTTACGCTCCGCGGCTAACACTGTCGCGGTGGGGTTTGCTTGGTTTACGAGGGTAGGGTGCGCTGTTGCTGCTATTGACATCTATTGGCCGTTGCCCTTAGCTTGTGCTTGGGCTGTCTCTGGCTGCACGGCTTGGTTCCAAACGGAATTCGAAAGATTCTTGCCATGAGGTGTGTGAGCGGCGTGGATTCAAGGGATTGACGTTCAGTTGGTTGTGGGGCCTGAGGCTTTTGGTGAGTGAGTAAGATCCGAAACTCGTGTACTGTAAACCAAAGACCCTAGAGCGAATAAGATCTTGTGGCCACCGGGGTTCCTAGCCTCGTTTGCCTGGTATTGTTGAGTTTAGTTCCGGGCGATATAAGGAATCAACTGCGGAGATCACTGTAAACAGCAAACCATAGCACAATAAAGAGCACAACACTAACAGCAATGAGGTCGCCTTAGGGTTTTGGGGTATAGCTTAGTATATCTGTGTGAAGGAACCCCAAGGAATAACATTAGTAGGTACTGAAGCATTTGGACCAAGAGACTTACACTTAGCTGTTCAGAACTTTTGGGGAGACGTAGCGGGCAGGGCCAGTTGCTTGCCCCATTCAAGATCCCCCAGGCGAAGATATAATGTCTTAATCATTAGAATGGGGTTCCTGCTGAGGGTTCTAAGGGTCCCATAAAGGTAATTGAATTGCATGGGCCGTAACAGGGCGAGGGTCACAAGAGAAAGCCTCGCAGGATACGTTGCTGTCAGAGACGTTCTCCTGAAACAGGCAAGGTGGTGGGCGGCATCTCATACCTACTACTCGGACATCTTCGTAGGTGCAAGCGGGACATGATGGAAATCTACCGTAGAGTTCTCACCCCGCGCAATGGGAGCACAGGGTTTGGGGTCTTCACCTGATGACGGGACTGCACCAGGAAACTCAGGGGATGCTTTGGGGCCCAACACCAGGCTTCAACTAGCATATAGGCCCTCGGTGATTAGAATAAGGTTTTGGTGTACATCATAGTGTAGTTATTATAAGTTATGATATCAGGTTTGAGGAAGAGTATTCTGATTATTCATGCTGCACCAGGCATCTCACACTGTAAGTTCTGCAACGTATCCTACTGGGGAGTGCGAGAAACCCAGAATCCTTCACAGCAGCTCCAAAACGCATCCCGAACCCTCGACCCCAACAAACTTCCCCAACAGTCGACAACAGGCCTCTGCAAACACCTGGGTGCTGCTTCATGGACTACCACAGCCACGAAACCAATCCCGAACCCTTAAACCCTAAATCCTAAACCCTGACCCTAAAGACTAAATCCTATACCCTTAACCGTAAACCCTAAATCCTAAACCTTAAACCTAAGCCCCTAAAACCTAAATCTTATACCCCAGATTGCAGGTGCTTCCTGAAGCGCATGAGCTGGTACTTGGCTGAACAGAGGAGATTCCTTGGCCACAAAGGTTTGCTTCTAGGGTTTCGACAACAGGGCTTAGGGTTTAAGGAGCTTAAGGAAGTGCTTTGAGAACAAAAACGTTGAGGGAAGGGAGAGTAGGTTGGTGGAGCTTCAGGGATCTGGAGGCTAAAACGAAGAGTGATTGACATAATGATGTTAAAAATTAAGGGGACCCCCCCCCCCCCCGATGTAGGTTGAGTATGATATCACTCAGGCCCCCAAAAATCATGGAAGCCTTTTTTAGTAACCCTTAGAGAGCCCTTTAACGAGCCTCCTGAAAGCCACCTCTACTCTAATCCTTCAGATAAGCCGCCTAGATCTCCAACTTAGACCCCATGCAGACGAAGACCCTAAACCCTAAACTCCTGAACCCCTAAACCCCGAACCCTAAACACTAGATCCTATACCCAAACCCTGCACCTCACGTAGCTCCCGCAAGAAAACCATCTCAAGACCCGCTGACCTCAAAGCCGAATCCCTCACGAGCCCCCGTAGGCCCCGAGAGGGTTTAGGGTGTTTTGAGGCTTAGGGTTTGGTGCTCAAGGTTTAAGGCTTAGGGTGTAGGGTGCAGGATCAGAAAGCTGAGTGGGTTGCGATGTCCTGTCTCATCTGCGCTTGCGGCGGCTGCGGCGAGGGGTCCGGGTCCTTCGTCCCAAGCTGGGAGAATCTGTCAGCGACCTGCAGGCAGGTCTAATGCCCAAACGCTTAAGGGTGATGTTGTCACTTACCATACTACTCGTCCAACCTGAGCTGAACTCGCAAGACATGTGCTTCTCGAAAATCAAGACCGCTTCTATGAAGTCTTTAGCGTGAAAATGCTACTACCCCCGAGGCGTCTCCAGATTCTCCGTGACTCTCTGAAACTCCCAAACGGGCAGATGCACTACTCGCAGTCTTATTCTGGTGTTTGGTACCTATATTCATGATGATGAGTACCTAAACTCTACAGGGACCATTCAAGAATGGCCCTAAACCCTAACCCTAAACCGTTCAAGAATGCATAGCCTGGACAGCCAGGAGAACCAGAAGAGTCACCACGAGGGCCACGTCGACGATTCGACCTCGGGGAGGGCCCAGGTGTTCGAAGAGACGCGTGTCTTGGAATCTCTGCCGAGGGTTTTTAGGGGTTCCATTAAAGGAACTATAAGGCTATAAGGGTTCGTTAAGGTTTCCATAAGGGGGTACTATAGGTAGTTTTGGGGCTTAGCAATTAAAACAGGTCTTGACAGCATATCAGGGTACAAATGTGTGTACAAACTGCAACACGACATAATCTGCATACTAGGGGCCGCTTCAGGGTTTAGAATGTCCTGCCCAATGATGTCCTTGCGCCCTGCAGACACGACGCTCCAGGAAATCGCGAAGTGCCAAGCCTCAACATCGAACCCGAAAATCTCATCCCCCCTGGGCATGCGGCCGCACCGGCACCAGCGGCCCTCCTGGCAACAAGCATGTAGTACTCATCGCTGGTATCCTGTTTTCGTTAGAGCGTGAAACTACGAGCCGTGATCCCGATAACACGAATGCTGCTGTTGTTGCTGTGGCTGCTACTTCTTCCATTGTGAGTGTTGGTAGCAACAGCAGAGAGTCATCACCGGCACCATTGTCGTTAGCCATCCTCGTCGTCGTCTGTTCTCGTCGTGCTCCTCATCCTCCTTTCTTTTTGTCGTGGCTGTCATCGTCGCAACCGCCATCCTCGACGTCACTGTCACAAGAGTCAAGAGCACCACCATCATCCCCATCAGCAACAACATAATCATCGAATAAGTAATGCACGCGCGATCATCTCCCGGGACTGTGGGCGTTGGCTTCGAGGCTGTGTCAAGCTCTGGTGCTTCTGATGGCGGTGTGCACTCTCATGGTGATGATAGTGGCGACGATCATGATCCTGATGATCATGGTGGCCGTGGTGAGGATGGTCATGAAAACTGCGACGAAGAAGACTACGGCGATGCTGCCGGGACAGCGATAATGAGGACGAAGATGATGCCGAAGACACTGGGATAGCCATGCCGATTGTAAACCTCGTGGTGACGGTGAGCGTGGTGGTTGCGATGATGATGGTTACTGCCAGGATGAAGACGGTCATGGTGGTGACGACAGGCAATGCGGGCTAGATGTGCTGCCGGTGACTGCCATGATGACGATCGAGATGGTGACCAGCAGAAGAAGTATGCCGATGCTTGCAGTAAGCACACCCAACACGCTGAAGATGACGGTAGATAAGTAAATCCCATGTTGTGACTTCGGCCTGGATCTGGTGCAAGCCGAAAAAGGCATTGAGGCCCTGCGCCCAAATCCCAGAAGCAAAGGAAGAGGCACCTGTGACCGTGCGCGCTGGAAGCGCTCCTGTGGCAGATTCCGTGGCTATGCCAATCCAGAGCCCCGAGCATGCCACCCGATTGCGGATATCTACAATAATGCAACTCATGGTGCATGGCATAAGGAACGGATTCAAGGCTGGAGGGCTTCCTGTCGTGGAGGGTCAACTACGAACCCCACAGTCCACACACTGAAGCCATGAACCTCCAATTTCAAAACCTACCAAAAAACCCATGAAACTCTGTAACACGACATGTTTACGGTTTAGGGTCAAAGGTTCATCCACAGGTTTGGCGAGCCTTCCTGCAGACTTTACGGACTCCCGAATAGTACTAATCCCAAATCCAAAAGCTGGCTTCGAGATCCCGGTTCTTTTTCGCCTGTTACGGATGAAAGCTAACTTCTCTGGACAAACCCTACAGGACAGCACGTCATGCCCTTTAGATGTGACGCGGAACCCCGAAAATGGCGGGTCATATCAGAAACCCATGAGATCGAGTTTCTAGACCCTACCTACACCCCTAGTAACCCACCTGTTTTAGGGCTCCTGAATATGATTCCCTAGCTTCTTCATACAGGACCTCAGACAGGTAGGTGTATCAAATTTCCCAGGCTTTATTTAGTCTGGCTCTCAAGTACCAGCGAAACCTATCTTGGAAGAGGCTATTCATCAAAAGAGGAAGAATATTACTGCTACAAGGACACTCACAATAGCAGTAATCGTACTAAAACTACTGCTACTCCTCTGCTACTGCTACTACTACTGCTAC